AAAAAAAAAAAAAAAGTATACCAAGCGTCTTTCCAAATTGGCTAGTGTTACAACACTGCTGATGAAGCTAGAATCAGTTTCCATATTACACAGACTCAATGCAGCTCGAGCACCATTAATGTCTCCTATGCGCTCTTTAAAATTTGCATTAAATAAATGGACCTCTGGAACATTCTATACCATAATTAACAAGAAGTTAAACTCGGCAGAACAGATATGCATAAAAAAAAATGGTGCATTTTCTTCTTCGATGCCCTGGAAATATAAAAAGTATTTTACAAATTTACAGACAGTTAGAGAAAGAACATGAACTCTACAAGTCATATTTTCACTTCAGAGAAACAAAAAATCAATATAACTCATTCACTATATTAGAGAGAAAAGTAAATTCTACTAGACACATTTTTACTGTAGTTCCTTTCTTTCGGTGTAGTGGCCTGAAACTTTTTGTTATGGGGACCCCAAATGAAGCGTTTTATTAGTGAATAAGCCACAACTACACCTTTAAAAATATTTGAGCTGCCCGATCGAGTGCAGAGATAGCCAATTCTAGTCCTCCTTTAGAGTTTAGGAACTCCACATAACGCACCCAGAACTCAGGGTAATTGGCACAAGGTATCAAGCATCTCTCGTACAGTTTCATGGCCTGTACACAAGAGAAAATTAGATACAAAGCAGGAAAACTCAAATGGAAGCAAGACAACCAAAAAAAAAAAAAAAAGAAAACTCGTACCCAGTCCATATCATCTTGCTTCTCAATAAAATCAAGATAGAGATGCCAATTATCTAGTTGATCATCATCGAGTGGGCTTGTACAAAAATATCGCCTTTGAATTTTGGTCTCGAAGCATTTTATATTTTCATTTATATGGCATGCCCTCCGATAGAATTCTTCACCAATAGATCTATATTTATCCAGAGCTTTTGACTTGATGGAACTATCTGGAGAATCTAACAAATCCTTGATGATGGGAGAGATTTCATCAGCAGAAATTTCTTTTGCAGGATAAGGAGCGGGCTCTTGCTCCACAATGCAGTTCTTGTTTTCGTATCCAATCTCCTCTTTCAAATTTGCTACAAACTGCTTGAAGCTGAAGAGTTAACAGTTCCAAAACAAATCCATTCTTTAAATAGATTTTTTTTAAAAAAAAATGTGCAAGAAGTGTCTATACTAATTTAGCTCCAAAAATGCAGGCGGAAGTTGAAACATAAAGTATTACAACGAGAGAGATAGAAAGGCATAGACAAAGTTGGAGAATTGATCCACGATGCTAAGTATCAAAAGTAGAAAATGTACAAAATGAAATGATCCAGTAGGCTTTTTAAGTTGAAGGAAATAAAAGGCATACTTATCATAATAAAATTGCAGCTTCTTTGTCGGAAACTTCAGTGCTTGGACGTAACAATGTGCAAGAAAACTCCACCCCTCTAGGTTGAACTCATACGTCATGTACTTGTCCCATAGGGCATGACAATAGTAATCTTTATCAACAAATGAGACAGCTCTTCTAAATAATCTGTCAAAATGAACAAAACAATACACAATAAACATTCCATGACAAATCCTTAAAATATATATATATATATATATATATATAGATCCATGTCTAAAATAGTAAATTCCCTTAGTATTACCGACGAACATCCTCGGGGTCTCCAAAGCAAGCTGCAGCAAACGTAAAATAGTCAACCCAAAAACCAACTGAATACATTCCCACGCCCAATCCTCGCTCGTAAATACTAACAGCTTCTTGAGGGCTGCATAACTTCGCCTTGTGATATGCATATTTATCCAAATGCCAATGACACAACGGGAACTTTGACAAAAGGGTGTCATAGGCCAAGGATATGGTACTTATATCCTCCTGCAGATAATCTTTACATGTATTGAAGCTGATAAACGTGAAGAGAAAATGTTTCAATCCCCATCAATTCATCACAATATGCAAACTAATAGACTTTGATAAATCACTCACCAAACCATGTAAAGTGTGCATTACACAATATTATCTTGTCTGGATACAAATACTATTGAGCATGTTCGAGAACACGGCGATATTTCTTTACTTACACAATTGGAAAAATTTTCTTATGAACAATAACTGCGACTGTTAATTTCGTCTTGTGAACCCAGAAGATACTCATACAGTCATACTTTATTCAGTACTCTTTCATATGATAAATCAAAACCAATAGGGAAAAAACGGCCATGACCTATGTTACCCGGACTCTTCTATTTAGGAAGAATACCCGACCCGTGTCAAGTTGTGTCGACAATGGTGTGGGTATGAGTGTCGGGTGTGGCATCTTTAGCCTAAAATGTTCAAGATTTCTATACTAATGACGAGTCGGACGCTCATATCTCCACACCCGATACGCCACCCATATCCGAGTCCAGGTAGCATAGGCCATGACATACAAATTACATACAACACTTGTACAAGACAGAGAAAATCTAGACGTACTGGAGATTTGGTTTCAATCTCCAAAATCAACGACTTCCAAGAACTGTAGTCTTGCAAGCCACTGGCAATCATCTTGTTAAGCTTCTGAGAGAGATTGGCAGCTGGAGAACAAATAGCAGCTAAAGATTAGAAACCCATGTGCTTAATCGAACACAAATGAAATTTCAGTTGCCAAATTAAGAGGAAAAACCATTATAGGTAAAAGAAATTCTGCGGAAAAGGGAACGATTTGAATGCCAAAGTTTTAGCTATTTACTTGTGTTTGCGAGATTCGAACTCTGCGCAGCAATTGATAAAGTTTGCATTTTTCTCAATCCTCAGCTAGGGTTTTCACAGTCGAGAGTGTATAAACGCAGTCGCCATTGATTCACTCTCAATCTCTCTGTAAATGTTGAAGGCTAATCTTATAGTGAAATCTAGCCATGTTTTTTAAAAAATCAAAATTTAGCCATTTTGGATTGCAAAAGTACATAATTGCCCTTAAAACCATTTTTTCTTATGTCAAAAGCTTTAAATAACCATTACTTTTTATAAAAAATGAAATCTAACCATTTTATAAAAATAAAAGTGTTATTGCCCTTTTATAGCACTTAACCAAAAACAAAAATCATCAAGAATAAGCTAAAAAAGCTCAAATTTCAAATATTTGAGAAATGAGTAGAATAGATAATACTCCTCTTTGGGAAAATATTGAAAAAATCCGAAATAATCAAGAATTAATTCTTGAAAGACTTGAAAAAACGAGCAGAAATATCGAATTTCTTGATACTTTACTATCAGAAATTCTTGATATCGCAGCAAAAGCTGACAAAATTATTGAGAATATCAATAGAATAAACGTAAATAGGTTAGAAGAAACTTTAATAAAATTAGACAAGAAAATTCCAAAAATTGAACCATTAATGGAACATTTAAGTAAAGTAATTTTACTTGTAAATCAAATTGGAAAAGAATTAGGATTAAATGTCTAAAAGTCCTGACGTAGGAAATGTACAACAAATACTAACAATAGTTAGTGAAATAAAAGAAGTTGTTCTAAGAATAGAGCAAAATATACAACAGTCTAAGTCTAATAACCAAGACAATAAATTATTAGAAATAGAAAGAGTTTTAAGAAACATTAAAGAAAAGAAGTCTATACCAACATATAGACCACCGAATGAATGGGATCTTAGTAATCTATTTAAAAATGGAAGAAAAAGATTGCCTGGAGAAAAATGAACAGTGACACTGATTCTATTCAAAGTGAAACTGATATTCAGTCTCTATTAGACAAATATCAGAATATATTATCCTTAAAAAAATTCGTTGGAAATTACAGCGACTCTAGTTAAGAAAGTGAAAATCTAGAACCAAAAGATCGTATAAATGTTAAAATTGAAGAAGATCTTAAGGATATTCCTCCAGGACCAAGCAATTATAAAGACACTCATGAGTATATGACTCCTGAAGAATACATAAACGATGAGTTCTATAATCCAAATGCAGATAGGTATTTTGATGTATCGGATGAAGAAAAAACATTCCCTGAAATAAATATTCCAGGAATAATGAATATGAATAGAAGTAAGGCAAAACATTACAAGAAAAATAAAACAAAGAATTATATTCCGAAGGAATTTATTCCTAAAGATAATTCTAATAGCCATAGTGATAACATACTCAATCTAGATTGTTTGACAAAACCAGTTGAAACAATAAAAGGTTGGTATAATTATATGTTAGTAATAATACAAACTAATAGAGAAGCGTTTGAAGATCTAAGAACATTAAAAACATATTTAGAACTTCATATGAAGGGAAATGTTAGAAACTGGTGGGATTCAAACCCATATGTTCCAAGCCTTGATGCTCTTTGGAATAAACCGGAAGATAACATAGAGTATCTAAATGCTTTGGCTAAACTACTAGTTAACGAGTTTGTAGGAGTCAGAGAATTAGATAACACAAATGTAGTGTTAGAAGAGAGACAGAAAAAAGCAAAGTTCATACTTGACAATATTCAAATATGTGATATTTGTTATTGGAAAAATTTTACATGTGAATATGAAAAATGGTATTACTTGTTAAAACAAGAAGATAGACCAGCATATGCTGAAAAATACTTCAATAAGCTGCCACCACTGTGGGCTTTTGAAATGAACAAAAAATGGTCTAATAAACCTGATCATATTACAGAAGGTTTTGCAGGAAGAGTAAATCTTCTTAAAGAAACCATAGAAGATAGATGTAAAGATACCCAATTACGAGGGACTCTTGTATACTATCAAAACAAACCATGTTGTGATCCTCAATTATTAGAAATACCCAATAAATGGGGTTGTAGAACTAAAAAAGAGAGGCATTCTAGGAAACTAAAATACCAGAAGTTTAAAAAGTATAAAAGGTATATTCCTAAATATAGGAAATACAAAAAAGAGAATCATAAAATGAACAATCCCAGATATAGAAGAAGAATTCAAAGAAAAGAAAAATATTGCCAAAAGGGAAAAACTAACTGTAAATGTTGGTTATGTCAGGAAGAAGGTCATTATGCAAATGAATGTCCTAAAAGAAAAAAAAGTAAAGATAAAGTTAAAATGCTTTATACAATGCAAAAATTCAACTTTGAACCAATTGAATCTGAAAATGAGTTTAATGATTCAGAATATGAATTAAAATTTGAAATAGAATATAAACAATTCTATTCCAAACCAAACTCTAACTGGAAAAGTTGCACTGATGATAGTTCTGACGAATGGAACAATTGTTAAATATAACTAACCTTAGTAGCACCTATATCAAGGTGGGTTTTAAATTCACTGGATATAAACTATATCATCTTCATGGATATATAGATACAGGTGCAAGCATTTGTGATGCACATCCTTTTGTACTACCCATTGAAAAATGGGAAAATGCTAAACAAAAAATAACTGCACGAGTTGCAAATAAACAAGTAATTACTTTAGAAAAAGTGGCTTATAATGTTACATTTTTAATAGCAGGAAAAAAATTTATAGTTCCTACTATATACCAACAAGATACGGGAGTAGACCTTTTAATAGGTAATAACTTCTTAAAATTATACAGACCATTTGTCCAGGAAATAAATTATATACTGTTACATTTAAATGAAGTACCAGTTTATATAACTATAGTGCAGAAAGCTTATAGCTTTGCATCTAAAGAATTCATGAAAAATAACTCCAAACTACGAAAACGTGGTGAGGTTACTGAAATAAAAAAGAAAAACATTGCAATAACAAGTGAAACTAGAAATCCAGAAAGAATTTTTATTCGAACCATGCAATGTAAAAGAATAATGGATACCTTAATATTTAAACATCAAATGCTTTATATGTTGTCTTTAGGAGACTGTCAAAGAGCATTAAATAAAATAACGAGTGAAAATCCGTTAGATGAAATGCTTAATAAAAGCATAAAAAATCCAGCTTTACATGCTGAAATAAAATTAATTGACCCTTTAAAGGTTATAAGAGTTAAACCAATGTGCTGTACTCCTCGAGATAGAGAAGAGTTTAACATACAGATTGAAGAATTAATAAAAATGAATTTAATTCGGCCTAGTAAATCTCCACATAGTAGTCCAGCCTTTCTAGTAGAAAATGAAACTGAAAAACGAAGACAAAGAAGACGTATGGTCATTAACTATAAAAAATTAAATGATAATACAGAAATGGATGGGTATTTTTTACCTAAGAAAAAAGAGTTATTTCATTTAATTAAAAATATGAAATGGTTTAGAACGTTCGACTGTAAGAGTGGATTCTGGCAAGTCCCTCTGAAAGAAGAAAGCAGAAAGTTAACAGCATTCAGTTGCCCAAATGGACAGTTCGAATGGAACGTTGTTCCTTTCGGGTTAAAACAAGCTCCTGGATTATTCCAAAGGAGAATTGACAATCCTCTATGTTTAAAAGACCCGAGCAAAGAATTTAGTAAAATTTGCACAGTATATGTTGATGATATAATTGTCTTCAGCAAAACCGAACAAGAACATTATAAACATGTTATACAAGTATTAGAACAATGTCTTTGATATAGGATATTATACTGGACCCAGTTTAATGGATAAAGCGGATACATATAGGAAGATAAGCCCACTAAGGCGTCTAAACCCAACAATATGGGCCAAGCTCATATTGAGCCCACAAAGGTATACTCCCCCTATAAAAGGGGGGTCAAGGTACCTTATTCTCATATCCTCTCCTCATTACATTACTACACTTTCTCTCTCTTGATCTGAGCACTGACTTAAGCATCGGAGGCCCGACGCCGGGGCCACCCCGGCGTTGGGTTCTGCAGGTACGGAGGCCGGTTCGAGTTGAAGGAGCCCGGGTGAATCTTATTCACTTCATTGGCGCCGTCTGTGGGGACCCGTCAAAAAGTCATGCGGAGTTCCGACTGAAAAAATTGGAAAACCTCCTTCTTCTCCACCGGTCACCGCCACCGCCGACCGCCACCTTCGCCGCCGGCCGCCGGAAAACGTGCTCCGGTCAGAAAATCGTCTACGTCATCGGATAGATATTCTCAAGGTGAATCTACCCTTAAAATTTCATGAAAAAATTCATTCGGGAAGGCAATCGATTTCGCGGTCAAAGGTTCCAGATCTACAAAAATTTTGGTCAAAATCGGACATTCAAACGCATTTTTCCGACGATCCGTGAGGGGTATGAAAAATCCGAGGGTACCACTGGAATCCTCTCGACGAGGCGAAGCTCCAGAATCTGACCTTGCCCGCACGCCGCCGTCCGCCGCCGCCGGTGCCGCCGCCTCCGCCGCCGGTTGCCGTCAAAAGTTGTCCGATCGGAAAAATTCTTACATCATTGCGAAGCCCTCCTCATGCTCTTTCTACCCTTAAAATTTGGAGCAAAAATTCCTATGGGAAGGGCATCAATTTGTCGGTCAAAATTTCTAGATCTAGAGATAAAGTTGGTCAACTCCGGTCATCTTCTCCATTTTTCCGGCTATTCCCATCGAATCGCGGCAAACAGAGGGCACTATTGGATTCTCCGTGTCGGGGCGCACGCACGGATGGTCATTTTTCGCCGGATCCGGCAAGATTTGCCCGGGGATTTTCTCTCTTCCGGCGAGTTTTTCTTCTCCGGCGGGTTTCCGCTACTGTGCGCGCATCCCATGTCCCCCTGCAGTGAACGGCCCAGCGGGATGGAGAGGCCCAGGTGAGGTAGCCCCATGGCCCAGCATCAGCTTCAGCCCAGCAAGGAGTGGCCCGCTTCCTTGTAGCAGCGCGGCCCAGGAGTAGTCAAGGCGGCCCAAGTTCTCGCCAGCCCATCGCGAGGAGCAG